CAAAATTATACTCTGCAAGAGCGGGAAAATTCGGACCATGTGACTTATAAGATAACATTTGATTTATGAATTGGGAGGAGAAACATACAACACCCCGAGCAAAGACAATATCTAAATGGTCAAGACACCATTTGGGAGGTGTCCCACAGCCCAGTTTAAATACTCAGGATACCATCAAATTACGCTTTTTTTAGCTTTAAGATTTCATTCTCTTAAACTCATTCTTTCCTCACTTTCTCTCTTCCTGCAACTTGTATGAATGTGCGAGCGCGTGTGTTTATGTGTTAGACTAGTTTATATGTCTTTAGATTTAGATAGATCTTATAGATTTATCCAATAAAGTCTTATTTCACCAAGAGCTTGTAACACTCCAAAGAGAAAGGTAAAATTGAAATCACATCATATGACCCCTTTAAACTGCCGATCTTGTTACTGTGCTAATAAATAGTGTTTTCACTATACTTTGGATATTAATATCCATTGCAGAATTGATGTTATACGGCTCGTTCAATGAATCGCTGGCCGACTCAGTGATCAGCCGTAAAACCGTGATTCTGTCCAAATTCCCTATAAAATCTTAAATGATTCCCTTTGAGCTAAATTGACCTGTTTCCCTTACAATGGCATCAAGTCTTCTGGACTAATTAAATCAGTGTCATAAATTTTTTTGGCTAATTAAAATGTACAATGTTACAATAAAATAATGTTACAATTTAAAAAAAGCACAATATAATTTTTTTTTTATTCTGGTTACACTTCACAATAAGATTCAATTCCTTAACATTATGCAACAGGTATTTTGATCTAATAATAAAGTGTTTTGCATTTTTGTCATAAAACAATATGTAAAAAAAAAAAAAATTTATTTAAAAGTCTCCTAATTTATTAAAGGCTGCATTTATTTGATCAAAAATACAGTAAAAGAGTAATATTGTGAAATATTATTACAATTTAAAGTATCTGGTTTCCATTTTTATTATATTCTACAATTTATTTTATTTTATTTATTCCTGTGATGGTAGAGCTGAATTTTCAGCAGCCGTTATTCCAGTCTTCATTGTCACATTTTTATTATTATCAATATTGAAAACAGCTGTGCTGCTTAATATTTTGGTGGAAACAGTGACGAATAGAAAGTTCAAAAGAACTGCATTTATTTGAAAGAGGGAATTACATTTTATAAATGTCTTTAATTACACTTTTGATCAGTGTAATGCATCCTTGCTGAATAAAATTAATTTCTCGCAAAAAACTAAAAAAAATCTTCCCAACCCCAAACTTTTTAAACAGTTGTGTTAATTTTAAACATAATATCATTCACTGTTAAACTCATGTTGTTATTTATACAGTTTGCAATGCTAAAAAGTAAAAAGTAAAAGTAGAAATTAACATTGACCTATATTAATAAATGCAGTTAAACTATTGTTCATTGTTAGTTCATAATGAATTCACTAATTGATGTTAGCTTTATTCTTTTGATTTCGGGATGTGATGATATGACCTGGACATTTCTTCGTATAAAGTATTTTCTAAAACCCTTTGATTCAGCATCTTAATCACCGTTTCTCCAGCTGTACTCTTAAAGCATCTAGATGAGCTGAAATGTAATTCAGTTCACAGTGTGCCTGCAGAGCTCTTCCCTGCTGACCTATAACTGCACAGACATGCGCCGTGGCTCCAGAAAAACGTTAATGTATATGAATGCTGTTTGAGACATGAGTGATGGGCCAGGTTTAAGTAACACTACCCAACAACACATCAAACATGTACTCCCAACATGTACGCTAAATTTAGTAATGCCGTAAATGCCAGCGAAGGCAGTGCTCTTCTTCTGTGACAGCGATATTTGAGTTCAGAGGCACACAAACACACACTTAAAGCTTTTGTGAATCGTTAACAAAACTTAATCTATTCTGAAAATAGGTCATCATAAATCTGTCAGGCTAATATGCTTCTGCCATCATCAAGGAGTGGTGCACCTAAAAATTGAAATTGTGTCATTATTTACTCACATGTTGTTCCAAATTTCTCAATGGAGCAAAAAATGAATTTTCTGAATAATTATTATACAACTCTTGGAAGTTAATGACAGTTCATAATGATTATCTCTGATCATGTCTGTCAAGCTATGAAACAAAAATATTTCAAATCTTCTAAAATCATGTGATAGCTCTGTGTGAGAAACAGACTGAAATTTAAAGTCGTTATTAATACACAATGCACCGTTTTTAATAGAGTGCAACAAAGAAAGAATCACATTTTTTATGATTTTCTTTGGTGGAGGCAGCAGTCTGCATTATTTCAACTAGATAAATATTTAAGAAGTATATTTAAATTATATTTATATATATATATATATATATATATGTTTAAATATTATACTTTATCATATTACATTATATATAATGTTTTAGATTTCTCCATTAAGTTAATCACAAAGCATCATGGGACAATAGTTATTTCTGTCATTAAAGCTTTTTCGTCCGATTTTTAAATACTTTTTTTGCATCATATCAAAGTTTGTATTATTGTGATTTACCTTGTAGCAGCTTGGTTTTGGTTTATAGCTTATAATACTTTAAGGCTTTAAGAATACTAGCAAATTTCAGGCTTTTCTCACATTAAAAATACTTGGAATATAGTGGAAAAAGTGGGAGTTTTGTTTGTTTGTTTTGAGCTTGACAGACAAGCTTGATACATTACAAAAGCTGCATAATGATTTTTCAAATATTTCTACAGAAATCTTTCAACAGACCAAAAATGACAGAATACAGGTTGGGAACAACGTGAGGGCGAGTACATAATAAAACTTTCTTTTAGTGCTGCTCTAAATGTGCCAGGCTCCGAGTTTGACACAACCAGATTCACATCAACGCCACCCACATCCTCTTCTAGAAATCCACTCCGCCTTTTTCCCTCATTTGTGAGAAAAGGACAAAAAGTAGGTCATCTCTGGGGCAGTGACAGCGTGTGACCAGACACTGTACACTTAAGGAGTAGACGATGCCCGAGCGTGTGCCACCACACTGATAACTGCAGAGGGCATCACATGTGGAATCGGAAGTCATGACAACGCACTGGATTCCTGATTCCTGGAAAGACGCTCTACATTCTGTGAAATAATGAGTGCAGATGAAAAACAATCGCGCGAGGAGAAAGGCTGGCCTTAAGAGGTTATGTGAGGAGGCTGATGGAGGTAAAATCTGAATGAAAGAGAAAGGTTAGGAAGTATGTGGGCCGTAGCTGGGAGTTAGCAATTACCTTTCCTCCTACTCACTGTTAACACGTTATCTTCATGACGATGCATTAAACACTTTCACTGGTTCAGTCATTCATATATGAAACATGCATAAAGTGCCGATGGAACAGAAATGTATAACACAACACAAACTTACACAGTACAGACAAACTGAAAACAATAGCGTTGGGAAGTCTGATTCATTTTAGCAATTCGGTTCATTTGGACGCTGTGTTTCAGTGAAGTGACTGAAAGAAACAATTGTACTGTATTGTTTAGGTCTTTACTCATAAGTGTTCTCAGAAGTCCTTATTTCATATCGCGATATTATCGCAAATGCAATTAATCGTTCAGCCCTAGTCCTCACTGCACTTTTTTTGTAGTGAAAAAGATATTTGATTACATTCTGTTTTTTTTAATAGATCTCATCAAAAGTATTGTCAAACAATGTTCTCCCAATCCTACAAACACTATACGCAAGATTTTGAACAAATTATTAAAGAAAAAATGATTCAAAATGCCGATTTGTATGCAAAACTATAAGTTGGTCACTTCCATCTTCCATTCAAACAAATGCAAGCTCATGAAAATGTTTGACTTCCATTGCAATATCAAACCAGATGGGTGAACACCGACCTGCAAATTCACATCTGACCAACAGACAATTTAAAGGTCACAGACCGACCTCCTGGACAAATTCAATAAACACTGACACTTAAAATTCGCCTATCTTGGCATTCTGCATGCTCGAAGCCTTGCAGAAACAGTGACTACATAGTAAAGATATATGTTTTCAATAAACATTATATAATTAAGCAATTTTTTATGAGCTATAACAAGGGTTTACAAAGAGGTGCAACAATTGTTCTATTGTCACATACCAAATCCTAAATTCTGATCTTCATACAGTTTTGTGACAAAGTATATTTAAGTATAGGAAAGATATGCAATATTATATACTGTGCAATATAATATAATATACTATATAATTATTGTAATTTCAGATCATATTTTAATTGTTATTAAGTATGACAAAAGAAGCTTATTACTTAAGCCTAATTATGATAGTTAATTCATTTAACATTTTAAATGTCTTGTCTTTGTAATATCATGCTTATTATTTTTCTCACAGAGTATAAATTAATCTTTATACACTACCATTCAAAAGTTTGCAGTCGGTAAGAATGTTTTTAAAGAAGTCTCTCTTATGCTTATAAGGCTGCATTCATTTGATCAAAAATACATAAAAAAAATGGTAATATTGAAAAAACATGATTACTATTTAAAATAACGGTTTTCTATTTGAATATATTTAAAAATGTAATTTATTTCTGTGATCAAAGCTGAATTTTCAGCATCATTACTCCAGTCTCCAGCTTCACATGATCCTTTAGAAATATGCTGATTTGCTGCTCAAGAAACGTTTATTATTAATGTTGAAACCAAATGTGCTGCTTATATTTTGTGGACACCACATTTATTTGAAATAAAAAAAAATTCTGTAACTATGTAAAAGTTTTTACTGTCATTTTTGATCAGTTTAATGCATCCTTGCTTAATAAAAGCATTACATTCTTAAAACAATCTTACTGACCTTAAACATTTGAACATCAGTGTATATAGCTGTCTTTATATTTTAAGAAGGGAGTTCCTCATAAGGGGATCATCATATTTAGGGGTATTTGTCATCAAAAAGTTTGAAAACCCTTGTGCCATTTCATAGTTTCATGCCATCACTGACCTATCAGCATCCAGAACTAGAACTACATATTTTATAATAGAAAACAAGGGTCTCTCATGAACACAAACGCCTGCTCATGTCCAGGAATGGCAGGCTGATTAAGGTATTGGGGTGAGTGTGGGGCCAGGGGCCACTCAGAGATGACATCATCAGACAGGAGGGGGGAGGAGAGGCATGTGCAGGCCGTCAGATGATGGATGCTCAACAATGGAACACACAGAGGCATACAGGAGTGCTTTTGTGCTGCCGGGAGGAGCCGCTCGGCCGTCTGAATAGGAGCGGTGTGGCGCTCTGGGAAAAGCAGAGGGAGTTCCTGCACAGGGGATTAGAGAGGCCTCCACTACCGTCCGCTTTGTGTGCCACATTTCCAAACATCTCCACAGAGACAGAGAGCTTCTAAAAACAGATACTGTAGGACAACTTACCAATATTTGGATGATTTAGAATCTTCATTATTCTTACTTCCCTGAAGAGCTGAAAGAGAAGACAGAAAAAAAAGGTGTTTATAAAGTTTACTTTTCAAAAGTTTGGAGTCAATCTTTTTTTTCTTGAAAGTAATTATTACTGTTCTTTTGAAATTTCTATTAACCAAAAAATCCTGAAAAAAAATGTAACATGGTTTTTCACAAAAATATTAACTGTTTTCAACACGGATAATAATAATAAATGTTTTTGAGCAGCAAATCAGCATATAAGAATTTCTGAAGGATTATTTGACACTGAAGACTGGAGTAATGATGCTGAAAATCAGGGTTATTATAATTAACTAAAACTATTGTTGAAATAAAATACATGTTAATTGAAATAAAATAAAATATAAAAATCATATTTTATTTCAACTACTTTCCAAGGCTACTTTCCCATTTTCATTTAGCTTAAAAACAACTCAAACAGAAGTAAAAAAAATTAAAAAAATAAAACTATAGACATACTTAAAAACAATAAAAGTAATAAAATTACAAAAACACAACAAAATTACTATAATGGAAAATACAAAATTAACATCTAATTCAAAATATTAACAAAAACTAAACTAGCATTTTAATGATACTTAATTAACACTGCTGAAAATGAACACCATCATCATAGAAATATATTGTATTTTTAAATATATTAACACAAAATTTTTTAACAATATTTCATAATATTACTGTATTTACTGTATTTTTGATCAAATAAATGCAGCTATGCATAAGCATAAGAAACTTCTTTTAAAAACATTTTTCAAAAACATTACCGACCCCAAACTTTTGAATGTTCTCTAAATATGGAAGGAAGTTTCCCCCTATAACATGAATCTATGGGAATTTTGTTTTATTGTTCACCAGGCGAAAATACATGTAGGATCATTTAGAAAAGTTATAGTACACCGGCTGATCAAGTCAATGAAAAAAATAAGCTCACTTTTACCATTCCTATTTCATTGAATTGAATCGAAAATGCCTTGTAATTCCTGTCCCATCATTCTCTCTTTATGTTATCACCATATATCCATACATTAACTCTCTCAAGCCTTACAAAAACACTAACATTTCAGCCAGACTCTTCACCTTCAAACACGCACCAATTATTTTCAAGAGTCTAGTATTTACGTCACTCTGACGCGTGCAGTCACACTCGAAAAGACTGAAAACGTGAGAAACAGTGAAAGGTACAAAATGTTTTGTGCCCGTTTCACAGAGTTCAATAGTCAGTAGTCAATGCACGAAAATAAACTAAAAATCAATACAACCCTCCGAGTGCAGGGCTAATTAGGCTCTTAGTCAGCCAGCAATGTTCTAAACCAGCAATCTATACTAAAGCACTAGTACAAACACTATTCACATGCTTTCTCATATATCTGAACAAGTGGACACTGTCAGGCACTTTAGAGACACAGAATAACCTGAGCTGACATCAAAGTGGACGCTTGTGGCCACTGAACCCCATCGCTGTAGTACAGTAGCCTGCCCAGAGCGGGACAGATCCAAATGATGGCATCTTATTTCAACGGGTCAGAGAGCGTAAGAGAGTAAATTTAGCTGTAAACACAGCCTGTGACTTTGTGCATGAAAAGTGGCAACACAATCTGTTCATACAGCCATTGTGCAGTTTATTTTCCACACAGATATGATTGAATCTACAGCGCCACAGCAAAATAAATCATATTTTATCAAATATGAAGACTTCACTGAATGTGATGAGATAAAAAGTAAACAATGCCAACATAACACACCTTTCTATTATGATGTCTTCGTTCTTGTAAGTGAATTGGCCAACAAAGACGGAGTTACCAGTTTGAATCAGCCTGACAAATCCCTCACTGAATGAACTCACTGAATCTTTAGGCAACTCACTGAATGAGTTGCCTAAAAAGACTCCGAAACTTATGAGTTATCATTTGAGTTAGTTTGATTAACTCACCAAAACAGTCAAAATGGTAATGAAACCCTAAAAAGACTTAAAGGGGTCATATGCTGTTGCTAAAAAGAACATTATGTTGTGTATTTGGTGTAATGAAATGTGTTTATGCGGTTTAAGGTTCAAAAAACATTATTTTCCACATACTGTACATTATTGTTTGTCCTCTATGCCCCGCCTTTCTGAAACGCGTCGATTTTTACAAAGCTCATCGGTCTGAAAAAGCGAGGTGTGCTAGTGAGGTAGACATGTGGGGGCATGTTTGAACGAGGCGTTTTAGGAGGGCGTGGACCAGTCTTAACTTTTATAAAGAATATCTCTTTGGGTTTGAGACTTTAGTCTTTGCAACTTTAGGGATCTTATCTATTCACGAACAGCTTGTAACACTCCAAAGAGAAAGGAAAACTTGAAATCGCATCATATGACCCCTTTAAGATTTCAGTTTGAATCAGTATGATCATTCCTATACTAAATGATCAGAGTTAGGGCTGGGCAAAATAACAATATCACATTGAGCCGCCATAAAATGCATTATGCATAACAGCAGAAATAAATGTGACAAGACAACAGGCAGGCCAATCAGTGCTTGTCGCTAATAAGCTAACTCTGCAAGTTCTGCGTGTCTTTGTGTGAATGAATGGCGCGGTTTCGTCTGATTCACAAAACACACATAATGCTCACGGTGATTTCAGAATCTGCGTCTCAATATATGAGACACGAACACATAAACTTCATCTCCAGAGCTGCTCTGAGACTCACCTCGCCAGCTCTACACCGTTTCATTTGAGAAAAACTACCATCAAATACACACTGAAACTGAAAGGCCTTCACAGCAACCCATCAAAATAAAAGTCCAATTTAACTTGAAGAAATTATGACAGAAATATGTGACTGTTGTATACTAAAATGTAATTCTCAAGTAATAATAATAATAATGATTTCAAGGAATATCATACAACCATAGTATTTTTCATTAATTTATACAGTGCTGTTGTGCAGCATCTTATTTGACAAAAAAACAATGTTTTGTTGTAAATTAATTATGTTTTCATTTCATTACATTTTAAAAGATTGATTAAATTGTTAAAGATTTATTAACTCATTTAATTAGACACCATTTTTATGATAAATTTGTATTGAATCATAAAACACAATCCACGATAAAAAAAAGGAAAACAGGATTTAGGGAAAATAAAACGGATTTCATGGGGCCGAAAATTCAAAGGTAGCTCTGTGGAAATTAATTGCGAGCAAACAAATTATCTTTAAATTCATTCTCAAGGTCTAACAAACATGTGGAAAGCCTTTCTTTTCCCATTATGAATATTGTGATAAATATCAATTTTGCATGATATAGAAAAAACATTGTGATATTTTTGGCCATATTGCCCAGCCCTAATCAGAGTGGCATGGAATTAGTCAAAAAGACACACAAACTCACCAGTTTCTGTTTAAATCAGTCTAACGAATCCATCACTGAATGAACTCCCTGAACCCATTAAAGCAGTAAAGCAGACTTATCCAAAAGACTCACAAACATGAGTTATTGTTTGAATCTGTATGATTATTCCTTTACTGAATTAACTCACTTAATCTTTCAGAATGGTAATAAATCATCAAAAAAGACTCCAGAACTCATGAGCTTTCTATCTGAATCAGTATGATGATGACTCCTTCACTAAATGAACAAAGTGGTAACGAATCAGTTTAAAAGACTTACAAACTCATCCATTTCTGTTTGAATCAGTCCATCAAATCCTTTACTGAATGAAGTGGCTGAATCTGTTGGAAACAGAAATGAATCATACAAAAAGATTCACAAACTCATCCTTTTCTGTTTGAATCAGTCCTTCAAATCCTTTACTGAATGAAGTGCCTGAATCTGTTGGAAACAGAAATGAATCATACAAAAAGATTCACAAACTCATCCTTTTCTGTTTGAATCAGTCCTTCAAATCCTTTACTGAATGAAGTGCCTGAATCTGTTGGAAACAGAAATGAATCATACAAAAAGATTCACAAACTCATCCTTTTCTGTTTGAATCAGTCTGATAAACCCTTTACTGAATGAAATGAATGAACAGTCAAATTCAGTGAACGCTTTTGTGTGAATCTTAAATTTGTTTTATTGCAGACTGGTTGTCCATATGACAATATTGAAATAATTAAATATAAAAAATTACATCTTTAAAACATGACATTAAAATGGTACAAAAAAAACTACACTAAAATAAAGCTTTAATAATATATAAATTGTATTATATATTCATCTGCAGAATTTTGCAGGAAACACTGATCTTACCAAAGCATACACAACAACAGACACAACAAGCTGATATATAAAACTACAAAACAGTACCGGGTGGTTCCATGATAATCGGGGCCTGATAACAGGCTGACGGCGTTTAAACTGGCAAAACAGATTGCCGAGATTATGGTCTGAGGCTTTTCCTTATAACTTGCAGAAAGAGGGATGCTGGGAGCACATGTTCTAGAAAAGACTGCACGGAGGTAGTTTTAGCCCACAGCCACCAATTACAGAGCTCTAATTAAAGAGAGCGAGGTCTCCGCTAATGAGCGGAAGCCATCCAGACATAGATGGACATGGCATCTAGAGCAGAGCTGCTCTGAGGTGGAACATCAGCTGTTTAACATCTTCTGTGAATCGTAAAAGATGAGTCATCAGTAATATCAGAGATGTGGATGACAAACTGTGGATGGACATCCAGAGCTTCCTGTTTAGATGTCAACACAGCACACTGCTGAGAGTGTAAAACAAGTACTCATCATTGACCCATCTGTGTCACTTATAAGAGAAAAAAAAGGATGTAATGATGAATAAGATTGAAAGTTAATTGATGAATAAAAATGATTTATCAAACTGAAGTCTCACAATAAAAATAAATTTAAAAAAACAATTAAGAATTCAGATATTAGGCTTTTCAAGAATGTGTTCTGATCAACAATAACAATAATTGCGATTTAAAATAAGCAAAATGTATACAAAATCATAATTTATAGAGTACTTTCTATTAAGAAGTGGCTGTCACAAACCCTAACCTTTAAATTTTAAC